AAGGAGTCTATAGAAAGACAACAAGTTTGGGTTCTACCTAATTTTGCAATGACAGATTATGCAGCTCAAGGAAAAACTAGACCATACAATGTTGTCCATCTCAACAGCTGCCATACTCATATGTCTTACTACACTTGTCTCTCCAGAAGTGCAAGTGCAGCTGGAACTATCATTCTACAAGGCTTTGAGCCCAGTATTGTTACTAGAGGATGTGCAAAATATCTTAGGCAGGAACTCAGAGAACAAGAACTTCTAGATGAAATTACCAGGCTTAGATATGAAGGGTCACTTCCTCCTTGTGTTGTAGGATACACACGCAATTCATTAATCAGAAATTTTCAAAACTGGAAAGGTACAGCATATGTTCCAGAGAAAACAGATGCATCTTTGAGGTGGAGTGAAAGTGATCCAATGGATATACTACCTGTGGTTACAGACAGTCCATGGCAGATAATTAAGAGAGGCAAAGATAAGAAAGCAGAGCAACCCAAGAAAGCTTCAACATTTGTCCCAGCTAAGGGATCAGTTGCAGTCAAGCATAAGGTGGATGATGATGATGAGATTAATATAAAGAAAAAGAGTAAAAAAATACTGAAGCCTAAGTCTAGCATCAAGTTGGGACTTCAATGGGATGGTATAAATTACAGTTGTGCATATGATAGCTTATTTGTGATTTTATATCATATTTGGAACATAGATCCTTCAAGGTGGACTACAAATTTTACAGAGATCAACCAAGATTATTTAGGTGCACTGGCAGCTGGTTTCAACAAGGTGCTTGAAGGAACACTTACTTTAGAAAATGTAAGAGATGAACTTAGACATGATCTTCATAATTTAGATCCTATCAAATTTCCTATGGGCAAAACAGGAGCTAGTGTTGGACAACTTACATTTGAAATGCTTAAGCATGAAGAAAATAATGCAGTGGCTGAAATAATATGTTCAGACTGTGGAAATGCATATGAAGTAGATGATACACTGGGATATGTTCTACATGCATCTGACCCTATACCAGCATCAACTTCAAAATGGATAGGATCAATTCAGAAGCCATCTACAGAAATATGTGGGGGTTGCTCAGGTGAAATGATTGAGCATGTATCCTATGCAGAGGTTCCAAAGATTATCATCCTGGAGTACCCATACTGTAATACTGAAACTAGTCACAAGGTAAAGTTTGTAGTAAATGGAGAAGAAGTTTTACTGAGCCTGAGAGGGATCATATACCATGGGGATAATCATTTCACCTCTAGAGTTTTTTCATATGAAGGTAAAGTTTGGTTCCATAATGGGATAACCACCAAAAATAAGTGTATAGAAGATGGGCAGCTAGATGATAAAAGCAATAATGATCTTAGATACTATCAAGATCAGGG